CTAAACTCTAAAAGAGTCACTAACTCCTGCACTCTAGAAGTCTTAGCTATCCTCTCTACAAAATTCCTAGGACACAAAATATATCAAGACTCATCAAACAAACTCAAGCTTAATGCCAATTATTTAGATCTGTTATACTCTATTGTACTTCATAATCTATCTATTATTCCTCTACTCCTAATACTACAACTAAGTTTATCTGCAGTTTCTACAATCTTCAAATCAAATGATACTACCCAACAACTTGAACTAATTTATCAAACCAACTGTTCACAACAACAATTTACCTTTTATACAGATAGATCTGTTGTTGATATTTGCACTGATCAATACTCTATAGGTATAGGATGAGTTCAGATTCACAATGATCAGATCTTTCACAAATTCTTAGCACAAATTCAACTTTGGCTATTCTTATACAAAGCTAAACTAATGTCTATACTATTAGCTATATCTACTTGCTCTCGCAATAGCCAAATTCAAATATTTACTAACTTTTTATCTATTATCTTCAAATACAACAAACTTACCAAAAAACTACTTACTTTATCTCAAACTCTTTCACTAAAATATTGGTCTATCTTGGTTACCCTACTTAATTACATCAAATCTTTTAATATTACTATTGTATTCTACAAAGTTCAGACTTATAGTGACAATATATATAATGATAATGCTGACTATTTAGCAAAATACTACTTACTCCTACTCTTCTTGGAATTAAATCATACTAATATCTATAACCCTTACTATATTTTATAATTCAAAAACTTTCCTGTTGAACAACCTGCATGCAAACTAATCAAAAATATATGCAATTCTTATATTATAGTACTATAGTCTTCTTAATAAAGAATGCAAAATATCTTACATATCTTTAAATACATCGACTAGAATACAATATAGCTTTTTCTCAATAACAACCAAAAACAGTTATCAAACTTTACTACTTTCTAACTTAGCTACCAAAAATCTTTTTGTATTAAAAACTTATTAAATGAACTCCCAACACTATCAGCTTTATTCTAACATATTTATACACAATAACTTCCTCTCTTGTGATAACTAGAAGGAGCTCTAACATTGGCTTTTTTGTTTTAAAAACTAATTTATACATACTACAATACTTCAAATAATTCGAGAATTCTTTACAACAAAACTACTTGATTTTTCTACACAAACAACTCTAGAATTACATAACCAACTAATCTCTCTTTTATCCTTTTAACACCAGCAACCCTTTCAAAACTATTCAACAATTGAAACTACTCTTCAAGGATTTATACTATTTTTACTTATTGAATTACTCTCATCATATACAGATACTCACAAAACTGCTACCAAACTCAGTATCTAATTCTTTCTCAAACTTTTAAACAATATCTATAAACAAATTTGGAAACCTTACTATACCAAACTTGCAGAATAGAAGACTCAAAACAAAATACCTAATTGCCCTCAACAAACTCTTCACTCAAAATACTCTACATATTTAAATCATTTTAAAATATGATATACTTATATATGTCTATGTGGTCAACCTAACCAACTATATAACAACAATAACCTATGCCCTCTACTAGGACTAGCATATCACAAAATCAATATTTGGTCTACTTTATGAGCTAAGTACAGTTATTCATCTAACACAATTATAAATATCCAAATCTAAATGAGTTTTTAACTACTTTAGTAGGTTTAGATTGTAGATAAATTAGATAGTTTACTATTTATAGTCTGAGTCTTATTCTAGCAAACAAATTTGTAAATTTGAAAAACCTCTTTGTAGAAATCTCACACAAATTTTAATAAAGATAAAGACAAAACCTTACCTTAAAAAAAAAAAAAAAAAAAAAAAAAAGGTAGTCTGCTATATAGGTATTAGATCATCTAATTAGTTTTACACTATACTACTATATCTGTAATCTGCCTATGAATTACTTATTTAAATACTCTGTTTATTAATCTATACAAATTTAATCTAATATTACTACAATATCTAACTGCTTAAGCTAACTAACTTGTTACAAATCTATTTATTTAGAATAGCTTAAATTCTCTTAAGATATATTAAATCTAATATATTATTAGTATTGTAGAGCTAGTTAACCTTAAAGCAAACTTATTAGAGCAGTCTATACTTATTTTACAGATTTATCTAGTTTAGACTTTTGTAAATATTTATATAACCTCAAGTTCTACTGTAGTCTTCTAATAGTTAATTAATCTAGTCTTTTTCTAGTATCTAACTAATTCTAGTTATTCTTTGTTTAGAGACTTTGAAACCTTTTATTTTTATTAAACTATATTTTCTTTTCAGATTAGACTTTAGCTAATATAGTCTTATCAGAAGACTATACTACTTTATTAACTTAAAATTTTTACTATGCAGGTTCTCTGTTTATATATTCTATTAAGATTTATTTGTATAATATTATATTATACTTCTAAGTTCGGATTAATTTAATATAATTCAATTTAAAGAGATACTCTCCTAGAAGCAAATAGAGTTTACTGTAATATAGAGTATTATCAACTAAAAGAGCATATTTTTACATTTTTAAAAAAATAAATTTTTATTAGATTTATATATATTTTGATATAATTAATATTTTTTAATTATAAATAAAATTCGATTTGCATAATAAAAAATAGAGATAATATAGAAGAAAAATTATATAAGCTTAAGCATATCACAAGATTATCTGATAGTTGTCTGTTACTTTTAATTAATTAAAATCATAAAATTTAGTTAATTTGAATCAGTTTGAAAATTAAAACAAATAATTAAACTCAATTATCTTAAAATAAAATATATATAAAAATAAGCCTTTTTAGTTTATAATACTGTATATATCACAAGATCTAAGAAATTATTCAAATTTATTAACAATAAGTTTTGAACCTTAGATCTATTGTATAGTAGTCTAACAAACTATTTAGATTTTTCTTTAGAATTTAATATATTTTAAAAATTTTTTAAATTTTATATTTTTTGAAAATTTTCAAAATATTTTGAAATTTATTTAAAATATTTGAAGTTCTTTAAAAAACTTTAAAATATTTATAAAATTTATTTTACTTTTATTTTAAAAATTTCATATTATTTCAAAATTTATTTTGAAATATTTTGATTTTAAATATTTTGAAATATTTTATATTGATTATAATTTTTTTTAGAAGATTTTAGCTTATAATTTTTTATAAATTTTTGTATATATTTTTTGTTAATATAGTTAAAAAAATTTTTTTAATAAATAAATTTTTAAGTTTTTTAATAAAAATTATAAATAATAACTATTTAATTTTAATTATAAAAATTCTTTAATATTAAATTTATTTATTATAAATTATATTACTTAAAATCTAGTAATTTAGTATAGTAAATAAGTTATCAGACTACTATATAATAAGTTTGAAGTTTAAATTCTACTGTTAACAATTTGAATAATTTTTTAAATCTTGTATTTAACTTATAGTAAACTTTGGTTATTTTTGAAGTTGTAACCTTGTAAATCAAGTTATACTAAATTACTTAGACTTTGAAAGTATAATATAATATTATATGAATAAATCTTTATAGAATTTATAAGCAAAAAACTTGTATAGCAAAAATTCTAAGTGCTAAAATAATATGATTTTTAACAGTTATACTAGTTTATATCTGATCTAATAAGATACTGAAATTAAAAAAATATAAATTAAGTTTTGAGTAATATACTTATAAAATATTTGAAAAAAAATAAATACTAATAAATAGTTATAGCTAAAACTAGAATTATACAAATATTATAAGAATCTATACTAGCTATATTAGAATATAGTATAATATAGTTGAGTTATAATACTTATTTATTAGAGAGTATTGATATAGTACTTATCTAATAAGATTTAAGCTTATAATAGTAAAATTTGTAATATATATTAGTCTAATATCTTTAAAGTAGAGTAAAATAGAGTTATAGTTAATTTAAAATATAATAATTATAGAAATAAGATAAGATTAGAGAGTTTAAAATAAGAAATTTTCTAATAAATTTCAGATTTAGTAACTAGTATAGAAATTTTGAGTTGACTACTTAAATTAGAAAACCTAAAATTGTATATATAGCTAGTTGTACTTTTACAATATATATTAGATTTTTTAATTAAAAACTAATAAAGTTTAGCTAATAGTATTTGTATAGAGTAAAAAAAAAAGCCGGCCGGCCGGGTCTGATTTAAAATTTCATGTTATGAAAACCAAGTAATTAAATTTGTATAGCCTTATCGAGACACCTTTGGAAAATTTTATCAATTAATTTCGATGATTTTTATTTTTATTTTTATATATATATATATATATATAGATTCTCAAGATACTTTCGATCAAAGTCTTGAAAATTCTTTTATGGCTTCTATTTTTAATTTTTTTTTTAAACTTTGATCGGCACCCACTTAATCAATAATCGAATCAAACTTGGTTAGGTAGTTGTCGAGATACTTTCTATCAAATTCTTGGCATCTGTTTGAATTTTTTTAAAATGATCGAATGTATCTTGATAACAATCTAACTAAATTTGGTGAATTATTTTTTATTTAGATTCCAAAAATTTATTAAATTTGGTTGGTTATTGAGATAAAAATTTTAAAATAAAATAATTTATTTTATTTTGATTATATTGATACTAATTAAAAATATATATAAAATATTTTTAAAAAAATTAAAACTAAAACCATATTTCTTTCAAAAGTATTAATATAAAATATTGATTCATACAAAAAATCTCATATATACCATAATTATATTATAGAATAATATTAGATCTTTTTTTCACTACTATTATAAAAATACACTAATAAGTGCCATACCTAATTTAGTAGACCAATTATGACTTACAAATGACTACGTATACTAAATCAGCCAAAGTTATTTTCTCCGAAGTTCCATAGTACAGTAATACAATTAAATAATTTACATAAATAGACTTAAATGACCTTAAATATTTAAAAACAATAAAATGACAACCGGGAGAATTTATGCAGTTTCATCGCAATACTTACAGTTAACTACCAACATAGCCGAAATTGAATGGGTAGAATCACAATTACCCGAACAAACTAATTACTTACAGGATCTGCAATTAAAAGTTGCGGTTAAGCGTAGTGAACTGGATAAATTGCGTAAACAAACGTATTTATTTTCGATTCCTTCAAATCTTCCGTAATCTCAATTTTTTTTTATTTTTAATTTTTTAAAAAAATTTATTTATTGCTGAATGATAATAATAGAAAGAAAGAATTTAAAGAAGTCCAAGATTTAAAACACTTTACAGTGAAACGATTGACTGCGCAATTAACACATAAACTAGAAAAGAAACTTAAAAAAGAGGAAACTGATTATTTAGCAGCATTTGAAAAAGAACAAAATGAGAAAACTGCTTTGGAAATGTTGGAAAATGAGTTACAAGAAGCTAATCAAATGGTATTCCATCCTGATATTTTCTTATTTTTAAAGTTTTTATTTTAATAATATTAAAATTTTAAATTCTATCGTTTATAGAACAGAATATTGACATCACGGAGAGATGAATTGAACTCTTTGAGAGATAAATTGAATAATTTAGTTGATTCTGTAAATATATATGCTATTTACGTTTCTCTACTGTATATACTTTATGGAATTAACTTTATTTATTTAAATTTAGGTGTTCACAGGCTCAATTCCTGGCAACGGTAAGCTAATTTATTAAACACATTCATCATACTGTAATTTATTTGAAATCCTAATCTTAATTCCCTTACATTTTTAGAAAATGCCTTAATAAATGCCTTAGAAAGTGAAGTTAATATTCTATATACTCAATTCAATCAGGTATCTGAATTTAGTGATATACAGTCAACTCTATTTATAACGAACTCGTAATATATATTTTTTTAAAAAAGTTCGTTATATCCAGAGTTTATTGTAAGTAGAAGAAGTCTTTTCAATATTTTTATTTTTTTAATAGGTTTCCATAGACGTTAATCGCTATCAATCAGCCGAAAAACACATAGGAAATGCACGAAACTTACTTTCTCAAGCAATAAAAAGTTTACGTCAAGCTCTTGGATATAACTCATGGGATCGTCATTCTAACAGCAGGATTGCTAATTTTTTTGAACAAGGAAGTTTGGCCGGTAATTCTTTTTTGGTTATTTGTCTTTTTTTTTCATTTTTTCTAAATAATTTATTTTTAAAAAAGATGCACGTAACTATTCAATGCAAGCTCAAGTCCAAATAGATCAAGCAAGACAATATGTACCTGAAATACATCAAATAAACGTAACCCAAGGAACTTTTGTCTTGGGTGTTTTGTTTGATAATTTTTTTGTAGATTTATATATAAGAAGTAAGTTTCTTAAATTCTACTTTATTATGTGATTATTTATTTTATTAATCGGTTTTTCTTCATAAACTAGCAAAAATTGAAGCTTCAATAAGATCTTTAACAAACCAGTCAATGCAATTAGACGGTATATATCGATGGCTTCAAAATAATATATCAAATTTTTCCAACATTTACAAACAGATGGAAAGAGCTTACTTTTCAAAACGTAAAGAACTGTCGAAAGAACGCATTAAAATATTTGAAAGAGTTTTAAGACAGGATAATGCTACAAACCCTATACAAAGTTCTAACGCTAGCAACATGTCAACTGATATTTTAGAAAGTAACAATGACGAGGATGATGCATTGCCTAGTTATGATGAAGCGTTAAGACAACCATCTGTTATGTAATTCATTTTACGGATAAAGATAAATCGACACTCGTTTTTATTATACGTTAGTTAATAATATGAGCACACATTTTGATAATCAAAAATGAACGTCGAATTATTTTTTAAAGATAATTTATTCCTTGTAAAATATAGTATTTCATTGTAAAAATTCTTTCAAAGGAGTCGAAAATGCTGGCGGAATTTTTCATGGCCATAAGTTTAAGAAAACTTTCGGTCTACCTTTAGAAAGATTTACTCATATTTATTTCTAACACACACATATATATATATATATCGTATATTCGTATATTTATATTGACATAAATATTAAAATTTAGTTTGATTTTATAAATATTTCGTGATATACACGAATTCACTTGTATATTCGTACTGTACATGACACTACGACTTTTTTTTATCGAATACCTTTCGCTATTTTACGCGACATATTGAAAAGATAAATATAATTTTGTGCTTTCTAAAACTTCCGTAAGTGCGCAAGTAGGTAAAACTCAGCATCTATTAATAATCTTGATTATAAGAATTTTTATGTTTTAACTTAAATTATCTAATATTTTCTATATCAGATAATAATACAAATTATATTTCCATATTAATGGATAGGATTTCACTGTACTACCAGTGGTACATTGTACTACTTTGTGACATTTTTTAAAAGTAAATTTCTAAAAATTTAAAAATAAACTATCTTTTTAAATAATATATTATTTTTGTTAAGTATTCAATCATATGGATCAATTGTTAAAATAGTTTTAACTATTGTTTCTAATTTTTTTTAGAATTTTTTAGTCTAAATATTTTAGTTTAAACTAATTTTATATGAAAAATTTATAAAAATTGTAAAGATAAGTTTGCTAATTTTAATTATAAATTTTTAATTAATATTAAACAAATATATAAAAAATAATTTAATTTTAAAGTTTTTACTAGTAAATATTATATATAAATTTTATATTAAAAAATAGATATAATTTTTTAAAAATTTAAAGTAATATAACTTAAAATAAACTAATTTAATATTAAAA